AATACAGTGCATACAATCCCAAAGTAGGATTTAAAAACAAAGGAATGACTAGTTATATGGTTGTGTATAACTCCAAGGTAAAATACTCTATTCTAAAGCAGTAGGGTCAAGAAACAAGTGTGATCTTGTCTTCAGAATATTTCCTGCAAACTTGAGTTTTCTAGGCTTTACCAAAAAATAAGTGTGAACCTACTTGAAACTTGATAGTTGTAATTAAGATGTATGAATTACAGTAAAATGGCTTTAAACTAGCCAATTTTCCCTCTCTTTTATTTAAAGATAACTTTTTAAATTAAGGCCTTTGAGTATTGAGAATTATTATTTAACTTATTTAACTTAAGTTCCAACATATCAATGAAAAAAAGTTTTGGTTAAAAAAGGGCCTACATAAGACTTATCATTTGGGAAAAAACCCCACATCTGTAATATAATTTTTAGGTAAAGTATTAATTTTTAGAAAGAGGTAAAAGCTAGATGATGATCTCTCAGACTTGATGTGTAGGGCTTCCTTCACTGAGTAGAGGGTTGAATGACTCAGCACAAATCTGAGAGTTTCGAGTTTCCATGTTTAACTCTGGAGTAACTGCTAATTTTCTGCCATTAAACTGTGAGTGTGGCCATTTTGGCTGTGTCTTATTGAAGAGTCCCAACGTTAGGATAAGAGATGGAACTATATAGTGGATGAACTATGTTTCTGAGACTTTTTCTATTGTTCTGAGTTTGCTAATTCCTATGTATACACACACACACACGCACACTCCAGTCTACTTCATGTATTACTTTCACATTTGTATTGAATAATGTCACAGCAATATACACTTACTACTGTGCACACCTGAGTTTCTCTGCTGAATCTGTCAATCACCTTTTACCAATTAAAAAGCCAAAATATTGACATAATCCCACATAAAACAGAAGCTGCTATTTGTATAAATTATATATAGCACCCAGAGGCACTGAGCATCCTACTGAACGAGTAACAAATACATTTGCACTATATTATGATCTATTCTCAGTTGTACATGATGTTTACTGTTACTTCTAGGAAGAGAATGAGGAATGTCAATTTAAAGATAAATGAGAACAGATGTCAAAAAAATGTTGACATATTATAGAAGACTTAGAGATCTAAATTTAAAATTATCTTCAGTTTGCATCCATCATTAATTTATATGTAGTATGTTTTTCCTTGGATATAACATACTAAAACATTTGCTCTCTATCACAGATTGAAAACAAATGCAAAGTAAAATAATATTCATTTATAATAAGTGGAAAACAAATGTATTTCTCAGAGAAAAAGCAAATGTGGTTTTTATAAGTGTATATATATATAAGTATATATATATATATAAATATTTTAAAATTATTGCTAGTGTACCCTTTGTCTTTTATATTAGCACTTCTACTTCCAAAAGATGTTTATCTCATGTCATCATCTTGAGACCCTAGAACTTGAAGGATGTGGAGATCTAAGGGACAGATCAGAGTTTTAAAAAAGTAAAAGCCAGTCCTAGAACTCATGTATCCTGTATCAACTAGCACATACAGACCACATCTTGGTGAATTCAGATAAGGTTCAAATTTCTTAGCAAGGTATGGGAAGATTTTCATTATCCATCCAAAGTAACCTTTCATCAATTTTCTCTTAAGCATTTGTGAATATTCTCTCTCATTTTATGTTTTTGTATCTGCCGGACTTTCTACTAGAATATTACCATTCATTCTCTGTCTGGGAAACTCCTTTTTCCACTGTATCAAAACCAGCTGAAAAGTCAGTACAAGTTCTCTAGGCAGTGAGTTGCTCCTTCTTTTGTGCTTCCAAGCACTCATTATAACATTTGTCACACTAAATTATAATTATTTTTCTATCAGTCCACCTTCTTGTAAACAGCAAATATCTTACATTTGCATCAGGTATTGAAACATAACTGAATGAAAAATAAGTAACAACAAATTTTTACTGGGAAAAATAAAAGGACTATATAAGTTATTCTTAGTTCACATATTCCATATTAAAATGTTGTGATATTTCTTACTCCTTTTTTATATAGTTTTCTCTAGTGAACTAATTAGGACTGTTTTTCCTTCCCCCCCACCCCCCAAACAAGGTACTGAGAAAATAAAACACTACTAACAGGGAGAAAAATCTTATTTTTAGTAAATATGAATCTATAACCTATGACATCAAATGACTCCATCTGTTCTTAGGTTTTTTTCAACAAAATTTTGCATACAGCAATTGCACCTAATGATTTGGCTTACTAAATCAGAAGGAGAAAAGCAAAAAGCAGGCATATTCTCTCTAGATAAACAAAAAGTGACCATCTGGAATTTACTTTTTTTTTTTTTGTATAAAGGAAAAAATACACATGCAAATTACAAAAAAAAAAATACATGGTAAGTTTAAAAAGTATCAGTAGAGTCTGCCAAGTGAAAGTAAAATCAGAAATTATTACTTTGGCTACTTTTTAACTTTCACCAATTTTAAAGAGTCCACCATTTTAAAAGACATTTTCTCTTTTTCAGTTATCTGTACAACAAACAAACCAGGAGAATAAAGCAACAAGTAACTATTGGTAGCATAAAGAGAATAAGTACTATTAAATCTGTTATTTATTACTGTTAAAAATCTACATGGAAGACTTCATATTGCCTGTGAAATTTCTTTGCATCCTAAATCTCAGCCTGATGTCAATGAGCCATGAAATGAAACCCTGGAGAATTCCTGCCATACAATGATGGTCTCAACATAGCTTTTTGCTAGGTACTCCTGATGTGTTTCACAGACTAGCTGCTTTGAATAAAGTATACTGCTAAAATGCCATATCATAGATTGAAATAGGATAGAAAAGAAAACAAAAGCCTACAATATATAAATAAGAGCTAATGTTACCTGTAATAAATAGTTTGTTTCCTAACAATATGCTTCAACACAAATGTATTTTGCCTCATAAGTACATTTATATAATAGAGAGATAAGTAAAGAGTAGAGATGGTCTTCCTTTATTTTCCAATGAGAAGGAGATGATCCAATACACAGATTTGGAAATATTTCATTTTCTCACCCAAGGCACCTCTGATGTGCATAAAGTATGAATCTCTTACCGTATTAAAGTTAGAAAAGAGAAAGCTGGCACATACTGATCAAGATCACAAAACTTGAGATTGTTAATTCAAATACTGATATTTCCGATTTTAATCTATGAGACACACTACAGCAAAAACATACTCATACTAGTAGCTTCTTAATAAAGCACACAGGTAACTGCAAGCCAGAAATGGGCTGAAGATATGCACAATTCCCCATATGCACACAAGTATGTGTAAAGGGTAGAAGAAATACAAATGTAGAACTGATGAGAAAATAAAAGGGAAAAAAAAAAAAAAAACAGCCTGTAGTGAGTACTCGATGCTTTTTGTGTGCTATCTCATTTACTTCACACGGAAATGCCATGTGGTTACTTGGCTAATCCTGATTTTATAAATGAGGAAGTCTGTGAGCTTCTTGAGAATTCAAAGTGCTTTAAGCACTCCTACCCCTTTCGTCCACTACAATTAATAGAAGATTCAGTATATACCAACACCTGACACACTGTCCAGAACATATTATGCAAATAAAATGGATTACTTAAAAAGCTGAAGGTAGAAAATACATACTTGGTAGTGAATTAAAAAATGCACTGTTATAAGGTAGAGAAATACAAAAACCTTAATGATATTAAAGAGGGGCGCCTGGGTTGCTCAGTTGGTTAAGCGACTGCCTTCAGCTCAGGTCATGATCCTGGAGTCCCGGGATCAAGTCCCGCATCGGGCTCCCTCCTCGGCAGGGACTCTGCTTCTTCCTCTGACCCTCCTCCCTCTCATGCTCTCTGTCTCTCATTCTCTCTCTCTCAAATAAATTAAAAAAAAAAATGATATTAAAGAGAGTTGTTTCCTTCCAGATTAAAAGTAAAAACTTCAAGATGGCATGACTGACATTTATTCATGAAATCCTGTACCACAGACCATAATAACATATATAAAACTTAACCAATAGACCATGAAAAAAAAAAGTGAATTCTAATCCTAGTTCTTCCTTCAACTTAAAGCAAGTCAATTAAATTTTGTGGGTTTTAGTTTTCCCACCTATAAAATGAGTTTTGGACCTAGATGAGTTCTAAGATTCCTTAAAGATTTAAATAGCTCTGATTATATAAAATACTGAAAATTTGGGCTAGATTACTTCAGTTGAATATGAATCTTAGTAACCAGGAAAGTAATCAAATTTTCTAAACAATTCTATAGGCACACTTTAAATTCTGATGATGACTCAATATGTTCAACATTATAAATTTAACCTTCAAATATTTCTCAAGACACACAAACCTTAGTGCCCCCCCAAGATACAGTTGTTTACCCAAAGACTAACTTTATTTCATTCTAAGAGTATTCAGAGATTGGTTTTAATTAGGCACTTTAACCTTACCTCTCTCCTATTTTATCCTGTCTTCTTTGCCCTTCTACCACCAAACATAAATTGTACTCAATTATCTGATTCATAACATTTAGTCTGGTATGTTCCAAAAAGACATGTCTAACCATCTTAAATCTCCCTCTTCTGACTTATAGTACTGTTTAAGGGAACTAGTAGTAAGCTAGTATTTTAAAATTCTGCTTTTTACATTTTAGGACACTTTTTTCTCCCTGTTAGGATCCAATAGGGTAAAACCACACAAAACTCCACGAAAAGACGTTAGCCAAAGATAACCCAATGCAGAGCAAAAGCTATACTTCGCAATTCAACAGTCAGTAAAAAAAGAGAAAATTATAGGCTGTTAATGACTCAGAATAAAAACAAAATTAAATACGAAATAATTAGCAAAGGAACTAGAAAGTAACATAGTAAAGTTTAAAATTTAATATCTTTTTAAAATCTTGATAATTATTGTCATAAAAAAAGTCAATTTGATAGCATGCAACTTCTGTCATTTTCAATCCATCAGTATTTTTAAGGATACTTAGTACCAGAATAATGTGTGACTCTGCCACGAACTGAGCTTGGCTGCTTCCGTGAATGTAGCTCTATAAAACAAGACAAAGAAGCAAAAATCACAATCTAGAGAAAAACAGATCAAAAAGTAAGTTGGGTTTTTTTTTTTTTTTGGTATTTTTAATTTTATACCATGAAGGGAAATAATAGAAAAAATCTGAACTATTTATAATTCTTTTGAATAATTAACTAGAAATAACAAATGAATATGTTGGTTGGTATTACTGTAATTTGTAGAAAGCAACTTAATATCAAAAGAAAATTTAATATAACTTGTTAAAAGGTTTACCACAAACACAAGCATACAATGTAATGATTATTTCACAGTTACTATAAGATGTAAGATACAAATTAGAGCAACTAAGTTTATCTTTAAGGAAAAAAATGACCTATCAAATATTAAATTGCTCTTTTCCACATTATCAGAGTTTTAAAATAAGATACCTTTATAAATTTATTCATTCCATTAGAGCATTTAAATTGGCCTTTTTTTAAAAAAAAATTGTTTTACCACATAAGAAATGTACAGTTTTCCATACCTAGTAAGATCTATTAATAGCCGATGCCAATCAATTACAGAAAATATGACACAAATCTCAATCTAGGATATTTTACTGCTTAAAAAACTGACTTCCATTATTTCTGCTGTTAACTTCTTACAAAAATTAACTGCTATGCAGGTGCTTTAAATACAAATCCTTTTCTAGGTTATCTGATTATCAAAAAAAAAAGTTTGGAGAAAAAAATAACATCTATGATATAAATCAATGTCCTCAAATTTTTTACCACATTTGAAGCATAGTTATCATTTGAGAGGTTGTTTTTATTTTTGACAATAAATACAGATGAAAGCATACCTGAAGTATGCTCTTACAAAGGGTAACTAGGAATCAGAAAATTATTCCTTCTTGGCCTTAATACTGGACATGTCACCAAATTTCTCAGAAACTCAATATCTGTTCATCTATAAAATCGGGAACTGAATTAGATGATTTCTGTATCTTTTTGAAGTATATAAAGTCTTCTATGTTTTTTCATAAATTGTGTCTTGGTATTTTCATTTAAAGGCTGTTTTTTCTACTCTGACCTAAACGGTCTTTGTTTCTATCTCTAATATCAGTAATTCATAGGGCTGCTGCCTTATCCAAAGATATGTTTAGGTATGTTCTTTAAGCCCAGCTTCAAGCAAACTGACTAAAAGAGACTTGGTAGTCTAATAATTTTCACTAACATACTCCACTTGAAAGTCTAAAACTTAAAGTGGTCCAAACCAAAGTTTTGATTCTATCCCAGAATTGGCAACATAATTTTTCCAGGTGTTTAAACCAAAACCTTGGAATCATCTTAGTCTATTCTTCTCTCCTCCCTCCTCTCTTCTTCTATCTCTAATCATTCAGAAAATACCACTGACTCTACTTTAAAAATCCATTCCAAATTCAACCAGTTGTAACTATTTCCAGGAAGCACTGGCAAAAGTGCCCACGGGGGGTGCCTGGGTGACTCAGTTAATTGTCCAACTCTTGATTTCAGCTCAGGTCATGATCTCAGGGTTGTGTGATTGAGCCCCAGGCTCAATGCTCAGCGGGGAGTCTGTTTCTTTCTCTCTCTCTCCCTCTGCCCTTCCCCTGGCTCACACTCTAAAATAAATCTTAAAAAAAAACAAAAAAACAAACAAAAAAATCCCAAGTGCTCAAGGATCAAGGTCAGACTTACTGTCTGGTCTAAGCAGTCACCATCTCTTGCCTAGATTATTGCAATATCCTCCTTTCTTCTCCCTGCCTCTGCCCTAAAGTCTATTTGCCAGCCAAATTAATCCTGCTAAAACTAATGAGAAACTATCATTAGCCTAACTCAGAATCCTTCAATTCTTGAATGTGTGAGAAAAATATTATATGATATAATCTGTTATCTGCTTCTAATCACAATTCCAAAGAATCTACATATCTCCAATTAAAAAATAGTTAAGACTAAAAAAAAATCTAAAGTTGGTTCTTAGAGACTTACTTCACTATACCCGATCTAGAATACTTGTGGGCTGGGGCACCTGGGTGGCTCAGTTGGTTAAACAACTGCCTTCGGCTCAGGTCATGATCCAGGAGTCCCAGGATCGAGTCCCGCATCGGGCTCCCTGCTCGGCGGGGAGTCTGCTTCTCTCTCTGACCCTCCTCCCTCTCATGCTCTCTGTCTCTCATTGTCTCTCTTGCAAATAAATAAATAAAATCTTAAAAAAGATTTTTATCTTTTTAAGAGTAAAGGCTTGGAGAAAGTCCTTAATCTGCTACTTGCTGTGTTTCCCTGAACAAATTACTTAACCTCATATCTTTCAATGGACTAGGAAGATATTCCTCAAAATACTGCCCTGAAAATTAAGTAAAATAATGTCATGGTAAGTAATTAGCACAGCATCTGGCTTTCTTTGTAGTACATAGTCAAAAATAATCAAGGACAAATCATCTTAGTCTCTATTCTAAACTATTTGTATCTTTCAAACATTAGACACACATGCTTAAATACCATTCAGAAATTATTTTATTTACACAGGTGAATTTAGTTTGTTGAACTGATATTTTAAAAAGATGATAGGAACTTATCAAAAAAAAATTTGACTTTTATCCATCTCTTTAGTCATTGAAATCACTTTAAGACCACATACCCTGAAAGATTTCAGGATTTAATAAAGTAGAATTCATCTGATAAATTTTTACTGAGCAATTTTTATTACCAGGTATTAATTTAGGCAATGGGGAGCCAGCATAACGAAACAGAAAACAACCAAGCCCCCCCGCAAAACTATGTTTTCATGACTCACACATTCAAACTGTGAGAACACTATTTGTCTACCAAAGTAAACAGAAAGATTATTGGCACACAATAAAAGCCGTAAGAGCAAACACAAGAATACAAACACAAATAATAAAGAAATATATAAGCACAAACATGCCAAAGGCTTGGGCGTTGACCTTAGAAATAGTTATCTTTAATTTATGGGGCCACCCAAAGCAATGACTTAATCCAATTAAAATGAACTAATGCTTGATTTTTAAGTTGGTCTTAAAATATTGTATTTAATGCACAACTTTCAAAATCCTTTGAAAGAAATAACAACTAATAAATTCCTTTGTAGCTTTAGCATGATTAACATCTTTTCCCTTTCTTATTTTTACCAATTCTGATAAGTATTAGTAACTAATGGTAATTTCATCCTAAGTATATACACACAACACATTTACAGAATGATGAATGGGCAAGAAGGAAATCTGCATGGTCTCACATACTTGATACATATCTATTTTTTTTCCATGGAGATAAAATGTTTTAACAAACCATAAAAATATTCTTCTCTTGACCAGTCCATTGAACACTTATTTATAGAGCATATAAATCAAAATCAAATGAAAGACTGGCTCATAAAAATTTTATCAGAAAGTTCCTTATCATGATACCACCTAAAGGCCAATTTTATTAAGAAGAAAAATTAGAGGATTTGAATTTTGCATAGCATAATATAAATAATATATATGAATAACACTTTTAATTTCAAGTAACATCCTTGAAAATAAAAAATAGTTATGTTTTGTTTAATATAATGGTTCTAATACCTCTTTTAGAAGAGTATCAGAAAAGGAAATAGAAATTAAGCTAAATATAGTATAGGTCAGTAGAAAAAAGGAACCTCATTCCATTTAACTTAATCCTAAATTCTTGGGAAAATGGTATCTGTCATTCTGCTCTGCTTTTTCAATATTGTTTTAAAATTGTGTTGGTACTGAGTAATCAGTAAGGGGTCCTTTTATACACTTAAATATTCTGAAAATAACTGGCTCGTGTGGACCAACAGTTTGTTGTCTGAGAAGGAAGTAATTGTAATGAAAAGTGAACTTAGAGTCAGGAGTCTTGGTTTCTAGTGCTGATAAACTCCATTCAATTTAAGAAACTAGTTGTTAAGCTCAGTCAATTCCATCATTTGGGTCTCAGTTTCCTAATCTGAAAAAGAAAGAAACTGAAATTGATTATATCAAGAAAACAGGATAGTATGGTAGTTTATAAAATACATTTCAATCCAAATGCCTGAGTTGGAATTCCTATCCTGGACCTGCCACAAGTGTGACCTTGAGCAAAATTATTCTAAGCCTCAAATTGTTCAAAACAAAATGTGTTTCCAGTTGAAAAAAACAAAATGTGAGAAGTGAATTAGCTAATACATGTGAAATACTTAGTATCAGGCCTAAAACCCAGTATGCCGTTGATAAGTTATCATTATTATTACCATTAGTTGCCTAAAATTCAAGTGAATTTCAACATTTTACTTAGGCATGTGACTCACAGATGAACATAATGGCTATTGATTTTATGTCTATTGGTAGTCAATTAACAGTAGAATATGTCTGGGTTAAATTCTCCCTGTCAGTGAATAATTATTTTTTAAACTTCCAAGCTGATATTAAAATTACCTGTCTTGGAGCAAAAGCAAGATCTAAACAACCAACTTCTTTGATGAACCTGAACACAGACTTTGTAGTTAAATGGGCTTTGGAGCAAAACGAAATATTAACATAAGCAGAATATAAAAAGTTGTTCACTCACCTATATAAGCCAAGAAATAACTTTTTTGAAGACACTAATGCATAGGATTCAAATTAGTTGTTTCTCCCTTATTCATTGATAAGATATATATTCGTATCTATCTGTTTTGGCATAAGTGTCTTGTTGGGGAAAAAAACAAAAGTGTACTTAAACCAATTCCAGAGAGATAGAAGTGGTTTTGAATTTTGATCATTTTTAAAAATGTAATTTATTTTAAAAGAACGTTAATAACACCAAGAAAATGGCAAATGCATGAAGTGAAGATTGGATATTGTTGGGTGTTAACCCAAATGGCAATCTGTCTCAGTTCAAGGTCAAATCCACAAAAGTGCTTTTGGTCCCATCTTTCATTTTAAAATACATGATTGCATAATGAACCGAGAACTTGTCAACTGCTAGAAGAAACACTGCTGGGATTATCTTTTAGCAACTACGTGAATTTTTTCTA